CCTCCCTCTGAGCCTCTGGCAGGTCCTCATCATGTACCAATTGAAAACTTGCGCAAGCGCCACAGTCGAGGGCGACATCCATCTCGGAGGTAGGGAGGAAAACTTTAAATTGGCGATCATGATTGTCACTTAAGTATTTCCGGGTGAGTTTTCGCCTCGCGGAGTGAGTGAGCGCGTGGCGGGGCGCGGCCCGGCGCGGCTGAGAAATGCAGCGCTACGTCGCCACCGCGAGTTTTCTTTTAATATCAGCGGCGTCCTCGCTTCCCCAAACTTTCTCGACGAGCGGACTGTGTAAGACGGTTTTACAGAATGGGTTTCCAAAATCAGCACGTCGTGAGACAGATTTTTTTTCCCCCGGTAGAGTAATGGTGCCTCGGAACTCGGAGGCTTGTTAAAGTCCTGGAACACCATGTCTTGCAATAAAACTTTCCTTTAGTCTGCGTGTAACAGAGACAACTTTAATTCACTTTAATTTGTTGCACTAAATTTATATTTGGTCACGATTGTCACTTTATTTGGCCTTTTTCTGGCTGTGAATATTGCCATTTTCAGAGAGTTGAAGCGAGCAGTCAGTTAGTCGGTTCATGACTTTTTCTCCGATACCTGGAACCCACAGCAACATGCGCTTCGTCCTCGGGTTGCCTCGCTCTGCTCGTATCGCCCCTGATCAGGTAGAACAGCGCCGCTGCGCGCGGAGCACTCCAAACTCCTACAGCATCAGTGATGTGTTTCAGTGACGGGCCGACTCAGCTGTGCAGCGTCAGTCCTTGTTGTTGAGATTAGACCTCGTTGAGACTCCATCCAGTCGTGTACACTCTCGTACAACTGTTTGAGCGTTACACAACCATAAATGAATTCATAAAGGAGTTTGAATTTCCGATACGTATTACTAGATTTTCTTTTGTTACGTGATTCAAATTTCACCTAGTTTTAATTGTTCTTTTCGAATAAACAGGTCCTACTTCATGTAAATGTAAAAGGTTAGCGTTTGCCCGGTTTCCTGCTCTGGCGCCGAGGGCAGCTCGGACGTGGCTGGCTCGAGTCGGCCGGATCTGGTTATCGATGAAGACACGGCGACCCAGGCCGCTTATCAGTGACACGACGAGCGACGCATGCAGCGGCGGACCTTTGCGCCTCGTGTGTCCCGCCGCGCCTCGCACCGCGCCCACCTCAGCGGCGCGACGGATAAGGAAGTCACCCGACCCCCGTGGCCAGCACATTCTGCCCCCCCCCCTCCTTTCCCCTCTTCTCCGCCCGCGCTTGCTCCGTGACGCTGTTCACACATCACTTTGAAACCTTAGTGTCGACAAAGACCTTGTTGGTATTCGCGTCGCGGGTTCAGTAGTATCGTGAATCTCACACTCTAAATGGAACGGACAGTTTTTTTTTTGCCAAAAAAGGTGTGGATTTGGTGGAGAAATTTGAAACACTCGAAAGATGAATTGTATTGAGTGTCCTAGCAGTAAACTGGCCCAATTGGTCTCCAGCAGATGGTGCGTCGCGTATAGAAAACATAACCTTTCTCGGGACAAAAGTGCTCTGCCTGCGACGACACACTCACCCCTCCTCCGGCACCCTTTCGTTGCGACGGGTAAGAGAAGAGGCAGGGCGACTCCTGCAAGGACATTGGAGGACTGCCCCGCCCGCGTGACCGCCTGCCCGAGCGAGCGGGGCGCAAGGTCGTCGTGCGCGCATATAAAAGTCGTCGAGCAAAGCAAAAAGTGTCCCCGCTACGCTACGACGCACATGATCTAGGGCCTGTCCGACGCGTAGCCTGCCGGCCGCGCCCTGCCGCGCCCTGCCGCGCCCTGCCGCGCCCCGCCACGACTCGGCGGCGCTTGCGACACTTATTGAACAGGCGTACCGTCCGGAGCAGGAGGAGGGGGGAGGGGGTGGCATACCGCGAGATAAAATGTAAATATTACTTGGACGGGCACGAGAGGGGAAAAGGGGGGGAGGGAGAAGGGGGCGGGGAATTTATGATTCGGGTCGGAGGGTTGAGGGATGTAGTTCTCATCGCGATATGCAAAGGGTTGTCGACTCGGACCGACGTGGCGCTCCGGTATGCATTGGTTGTTATTTGTGTCGTCGCGTCTCCGTTGTCGTCATCCTCGCCCGCGCAGCAGCGCCTTGCTTGCAGTACAAAGGGGTATGCGTCAATCGACACTGGACTGTGTGACTTTGACTTGTGAAGGCTTGTTGTCGCTCGCGCGCAGTAATTCTTCTCTGACGATGACTCTTACGCATAGCCGCCCTGTCGCGTTTTTGGGTCACGTCATAGGAAATGTCTACACACTGTTGCGATGGTGGTTGACGTGTATCACCCTCGGCGGCAATATTCTGTGGTTCCGAGAGAAACGCTGCAGGTCTCTTGTTTTGCCTGGCCCCATATGGCAGCGGAGCGTGCTGGCTGGACGTGTGCACAAACACGTTCGCAGTCAGTCGGCCGGCCCAGCTGTGCCAACACGGCGGCAGCGGGGCGTCGCTCGCGCGGTGCCACCTGCGCGCCGCGCCGGCGCCGCCGCGGGCCGCCCGCGGGGTCAGTCTCCGCCGCACGGCCACGCCATGGACTGCAGCATCTGCTTTGAGAAGTACGACCAGCAGGAGCGCGTGCCCAAGGTGGTGCCGTGCGGCCACACCGTATGCCTGCTGTGCCTCGGGCGGAGCGATAGAAGGGAATGCCCAACGTGCCGCACGGTGAGTCCGGCCGCTCTGGGTAGGAGCTCATAGCAGCTAGCTGCTGGCTGGGGGTCGGGTTCCTCGCTGTTTGTTCTTTTTTTAGAATAGTACTTTGACGAGTTCATGTTGCTTCGGCTAAAGTATAAAGAAATAAATATACCAAAATTAATAATAAGAAGTAGCATATTGTCCGAGTGGTGTTTGTCATTGTTGCCCGTTCTTGCCCAATTTTTGAGGTTTTTGAGCTAGACAACCCAAATTCAATACACTTTTCATTTTATAAAGCGACCCCTCTGAGAGACATGGTATAGGATCACTGGAATAATATACTTCGCAGTCGCTCCGCGACTTAGCATAGTCGTACACGCACCACTGCTGCAACATTTTCATTTGCTATAATTTTAGCCCTACAAGGTCCTCCCCTCATCGCTTCCTAGAAACTTTGACCTGCTGCGACTAATCGACCAACATGGGCATGCCAGGTGAGTCAGTGGCTACACGGTGAAAATTGTTCTTTGTTGTCCAGGGACCATCGGAACGATTTAAGGACGCCCAACGCCCATGCAATTTTTCCTCCCATCCTTGAATTTTTCTGATGGTCCTTGGATGTCAAGGAACAGTTTTCACCGTGTACTGGCACGCATCTCATCCCTGAGAGCCGAACTCAGGTCGAACTTTGTCGTGATCAGCAGAATGTGCTTACCGGCTGCATCTCTGGCTCGCGACGAATGATCTCTTTACTCCTGATCACTGTTAGGGTCCACTGCGGATGGTGCTCCGACTGCCGCGACGCTGCAAAGGGCGAATGCTGGGAGGAGCACGAGGTCCTCAACGTCCAGGCCGCCCTGAGGAGGCGCCTGCAGGCGGGCGTGCTGCAGCAGGCTGCCGGCCAGCTCGAGGCTCTTCATCGCCAGTGCCAGGGGGCGAAGGCTCTGCACGCCATGACCTTGCTCTCAGCCGAGCCCTGGGACCTGACCCTGAGGAGTGGGGACAAGGTGTTGACGGGGACCGTGAGGAATGCGGATGACGCTGACCCCCTTACCAAGGCCATGTGGCTCACGGTGGCCGCCAAGGCTGCGCTAACCAAGGTGGGCGATAATTCGTTTTTAGGTTGACGGTGAAGAGGGCTGCGGTGTTCGTGTACTCTCACCATCGGGGTGTATAGATATTGCCAGCAGTAGTTATTGAAACTCCTCTCGACGGCGACAGACCTCCCTCTGCAGCCAAGGGGCAGACACCTGCAGATGGGAATGCTCCTCCGGGAACTAGTAGCGCACCATCTCCAGCTGGGAGCCCTCTCTCGGCAGCCACGAGCGCACCCCGCGCCGTGTTGCAGTTCCTGTGGGAGTTGAATGTAGGGAGTGCCTCCTACGGGGAACCCAACGAAAAACACCAAGAAAAGACAGATTGTCTGCGACTCGTGCTTGGGGTGCGTCTAGGTGGAGTGACTTCTGGTCGGCGCGATAAGGGATTATCCAGAAAGTACGCCCGTTATTTTGCCTCAAGGAACCTGCCAAGTTTAGTCTCTTCAAGCTCGCATAGCGCCTAGTGGGTAGGCAACATATCGTCCTCTACGCACGCGTGCTCTGCGGGGTGGCCTACCCTGAACCTCGCAGGCGCGGAGCTTCCGTAACTTTGACGAATGAGAATGAGAAAAACGGAACTACTTTCTGGACGATCCTGTCGGCTTTTGGGCAACAGCCTATGCACGTCAAACCAGCCTACTCTGAGAAATTTTTGCCACAGGTAGAACGGCTGGTCGGCGTGCACTGCTGCTATGACCCCGCCTGGAGCCTCCAGCTGCTGCGGTCTGCCGCGCCCTCGGTGGAGCAGCTGAGCGTTTGGTACCTCCGCCAGGCTCACATGCTCGCGGTGCACGCCATGCCTCGGTTGAGGAGGCTGTGGTTGTCGCATTACATGGAACCCCGGTCTCTCGAGCTGGGCGAACTCCCACAGCAGGGCAACGGCGAAGGTCTGGAGTGGCTCAAAGTGTACGGACTTCCTCGTCCCACGACGCGGTCGGTGCTGCAGGCGCACGCACACTCGCTGCAGGAGCTCGTGCTGTTTGTGGGCACGGCGGGGGAGCAGCAGTGGCCGCGGAGCTGCAGTGACCTGCACTCGCTGCTGGAGCAGTGTGGCCTCCGGGCGCTGAGGAGGGTCGTGCTGGAGAGGGGAGGTGCCTCCTCACGGTGCAGCCACGGGCGAGCCGGGTGCGACCAGCAGCGCGGCGAGGTGCGGCGGGTGCTGCACGGCGCCGAGGTCCTGTGCAGCAAGTGTCACCACCGCCGTGCCCGGCCCTACTGCAGGCTTTAATCCTCCCTACTGTCGGTATACGAAATAAACTAAACGTAGTTTCAAAACAATATTAATTAATTACTCCTTTAAGTAAAGGGTAAACCATCCTGTAGCAAGCTCACGTAGATGTGCACGACATTCGAGTGGCGCCGCCGCCCCGAGCCCGAGAGGCAGCCGCTCAGACCCGGTGTAGGACCATGAATGTACCCCCACCAGGAATGTACCCCCAGAGGAAGGGGGTACATTCATGGCACCATGAATGTACCCCCCATAGCGTTGCATCAGCTAGGGGGTACATTTATGGTGCCATGGATGTACCCCCCTTGGTGTCTTTTTTGGGGGGTACATTCATGGCACCACTGTTGTACCCCCCGTCACGGCCCTTCAAGGGGGTACAACAGTGGTGCCATGAATGTACCCCCCGAAAACAGGCCTCAGGGGGGGTACAACAGTGGTGCCATGAATGTACCCCCCTGGAAGGTGGCGAGGGAGGGGGGTACATCCATGGCACCATGAATGTACCCCCCTGAAAGGTGGCGAGGACGGGGGGTACATCCATGGCACCATGAATGTACCCCCCTGGAAGGTGGCATTTGCTACCCAAAAACTTACCCTTCATGCTGTGCAACAGTTACTTTGGGCTTTGGTTTTTTTTTTCGTGTACAACGTGTACGATTGGGACAGAAGAGCACAGAAGGGCGTCTGAGGCCGTGCTTCTTTAAGCAAAGTAAGCATGAACGGTGCACAGTGAAAGCTAAGTAACGAAATTAAACGCACAGTTTTTTCATATTTTTTAAATGAAGAAGAACTGACTTAAAAAAAACACTATTTTGTTGCAATACCTAGAGTGGAGCAGATAGGAAACACGTGTTGCCTATATTCTTTATTCCTCCTTATTCCTGGTGCCATTCATGGTGCCATGGATTTACCCCCTCCCTCGCCACCTTCCAGGGGGGTACATTCATGGTGCCATGGATGTACCCCCTCCCTCGCCACCTTCCAGGGGGTACATTTATGGTGCCATGGATGTACCCCCCTTGGTGTCTTTTTTTGGGGGGGTACATTCATGGCACCACTGTTGTACCCCCTTGAAGGGACGTGACGGGGGGTACAACAGTGGTGCCATGAATGTACCCCCCCAAAAAAGACACCAAGGGGGGTACATCCATGGCACCATAAATGTACCCCCTACCTGATGGAACGCTATGGGGGGTACATTCATGGTGCCATGAATGTACCCCCTTCCTCTGGAGGGTACGTTCATGGTGGGGGTACACTCTTAGCTCTGCACCGGCTTTGACATGGCCCCAGGCTGCCTTGACGCTGCCGGACTCAGCCGACCGGAAGCGACTGCCGGGCACTGCGAGTTCCCCCGGCCCCCCCGGCACCGCCCGCCCTGGCCCGGTGCGCAGGTCGCGTCGTGGTGGGGAGACGTTGCCGATGATCCACTGCTCTCCTGGCCGCCCCCACTGCGCTCCCCCCTGCGCGCCGCCCACCACAGCCCGACAACATTCAGGCAGAGTTTCCCTAACGACGCCACTGCACATAACATTAAGCCTGGCGGGGCCGGGGCGGTGGGAGGGCAGCCAGGGCGTCCTGTGAGGCCAACAAGTATACGCAACATGCTGCCGTCCCTATTTTCTGCCTTTCCGCACCCTCTCTCGGGCCCCGCGCCCCCCTCGCCCCTTTGCCACATCGCTCAAACGAGTAATTAGTTACAACTTAGAGTAGAGCGGCAGCCGGCGGGGCGGCTCGGAGGGCTGGGAGGTGCTGCTGGTGCTGCTGGTGTCTCTCGCTGACCTCCTTTATCTCTTTCTGTTTCAGGTGAGTGCCGTTTGCGCGCAGCCAGCCGGGGTGCTGCTGGTGTCTGTCTACAGTAAGTGCACGCTGGAGGAAACAGAGGTGGGACTTTATACGTTTCTAGTCCCTTTTTTTTATTTTATTTTACCTTTTGTCAACAAGTCGTCGAAAACCTTAATTGAGGTAAGCTGCTTCATTCAATTCCATTTCTTCACTGTAAAAAATATGTGTCGGAAAAATCCCATAAATGTGTCTGAAGCAAATTACATATACAGTGTGTAGGATTTTCCCTATACGACTGTGTGGG